ACGCAATTGCTGTTTGTTGGTGATCGATCGGTGCGTTACTTTGGAGGATCTAACGGTGAAGCGTCTCCGTGGGGCCCACGATGGTGTTATTGGTGCCGCGGCGGCTTCGTCGTTGAAATCTTTATGCCTGAAGGAGCTCGTCAACGGTCAAAGCTTCGCGCCGCTTGTGATTGGTTCGAAGAAGCTTCGGAGTTTGAAGGTGATTGGGTGTTTGGGGGATTGGGATGAGACTCTGGTTAGGGTTGGGTGTTTTAACGCTGGTTTAGTTGAAGTTCACTTGGAGAAGATTCAGGTTAGCGATGTGGGACTTGTTGGCGTGTCTAACTGTCTAGGGTTGGACACTTTGCACGTTGTGAAAACTGCTGAGTGCTCCAATGTGGGACTTGCCACGGTTGCTGAGAGGTGTAAGTTGTTGAAGAAGGTTCACATTGATGGTTGGAGGATGAATAGGATTGGTGATGATGGCTTGATTGCGATTGCCAAACACTGTCCTAACTTGCAGGAGCTTGTGTTGATTGGTGTTTATCCCACTTTTTTGAGCTTGGCGGCCATTGCTTCCAATTGTAAGAATTTGGAGAGGTTGGCTCTTTGTGGGATTGGAACCGTTGGTGATGCCGAGATTGAGTGCATTGCTGATAAGTGTGTTGCACTCAAGAAGTTGTGCATTAAAGGGTGCCCTATATCGAATGCTGGGATCGGGGCTCTTGCTTCGGGGTGTCCCAATTTGGTTAAAGTTAAGGTGAAGAAGTGCAGAAAGATTACTGGTAGAGGGGTAGAGTGGGTGAGAGGACAGAGGGTTTCTTTGATGTTTAATTATGATGATAGTGAAGTTGAAGCTTTGGATGGGAGTGGAAGTGATGGTGTTGGGGGAGGTCAGGATAATAATACGGTAGAGTTTCAACCATCCATCAACCAAACAACCGAGGCTGTGACTGAGGCTGAGGCTCCTTCAAGTAATAATAACAACCGATTGACAATGATCAGACCAAGGTTGGGGTTTTTGGCTAATAGAAATTTAGTACCGTGTGTCTTCAGAAGGTGGTCTAACAGTGATAATGTCTCCAGTACCAGCTTTTCATGATGTTAGTAAGAAATCAAACACATTCTTGCCTTGTGGGATGAGATGAATTCTCATGTGGATTTCCTGTTCTTTGCTTTGTTATTTTTTGAGTGATAGTGTTGCTTTGTTATTTTTTGTTTTCTTATGAATAGCTCTATTTTTGGGTGGATTTTTCTTATGAATAGCTGATAGCAGCAATTTTATTGTTGTTTACTAGATTTGTCATTTACCAACCTCTGTAACTTGTAAAGTCTCTCTACTTGTAACATGTTGGAACACTCAGTGCAGTTTTTTTGATAAAAATTGCAGAGTTCACAGAGAAAAAAAAAAAAAAAGAAGATAAAAGCTGCTGAAAATCTCGTTCCTTTTTAATATACTTGCTAGTTGGTATTACTGTTGGCGTTTGTATAATAGAAACAAAACTTAGGTGCAGCATTTGGAGTGGTATTCTTTAATTAAAATCAAAGTTTCATCTTAATAACTCCCTCAATGAAAGTTGATATTAAAGGTTTAGCATTAACGGGATGAAACATTAATTTCAACCTCTAATTTTGATTAAAATTGCATATATTCCAGGGTATCTGGTGCAATAGTGTTTAGGGAGCAAGAGCATATATAAAGCATTATTTCCAAATGCACAGCCAGGGTTATATGAGACAGAGTTGCCTTTTGTTAATCCAAAGATAGGAAAATGTGCTACACTGGTGTCTCGTGTTTCTATAAACAAACTGCAAAAGAATCTTATGCTGTATGTTTAACAAATGATTATTTTTATAAAACAATTATTTAAAAAAAAATCAGGAAATTGATAATTAAAAAAAAAAAAGAGGGGATTTCTTCAAATCAAGTAAAATCAAACTCATACAGGCGTTGAATTTGTTCCCCAGCATTGTCATTTTGGAAAGAAAAGCTAGGCCCTTGAGGACGGCAAATCACTGAATGCCTAATGAAAACTTGAAAGAATCATGTAAACATGTGACCTTAAAAATATACAAAATTTAGATAATAAAATACAGGAAATTTCATTCGACAACAAATTGGGGGAAACCAATGAATTCCATAATGCTTAATGCCTTTCCTTAACAGCGTTGAAATCGATCAACAGTTTTCAATCACTTTCAAAATCTTCATCTCCAAACGAAAAAACTGAAGCATCTGCTGCGATTGCCTTGATATCACTTGCCCCTACAGATCCCATGTTTGTGCTGATATTGCCTGCATGAACATTATGAAGTTTATCTGTAGTTGATTCTTCAGAAGCATGTTTTTTCATGCTTTCCTGATGCTGTAGTGACAACTGATTCGTTTTATGTGCCAACATCCCTTCATGGTCTGTTGTTGCCTCAGATACTTGATGAGGTGCCATAAATTTGTACTCGGTTGCAGCTTTCTTGCTTTGTGTAACCCGGGTCTCCTCTTCGTCACTGTCTGAGAATACATCATCGTCATTTTTAGGAACTTTACTCTCACTTGAATTAGATGTAGTAGGCTTTGGACCAGGTAAGGAATTGCTCGTGTTTCCATCAGATCCTTTGCTGGCAGGATTGGCTTTTGTCGTTGCAGGTAGGGTGTCATTATAGTCTATCATCACAACTTCCACCTTGAATCCTGGAGAGGGGATCTTTCTCTGAAGGTGCAATCATAAGGTTTAGATTATCATCAGGTTCAGAGAATAAATCAATAGACATATCTACGGTTAGAACTGCAGTAACATACTGAGGTTTACCTCCATACAAAATAACATTGAAAACAAGTGCATATGTTTACCTTGTCGAAACCATCTAAATCTGAACCATCCAAAATTGTTCGGTTTTCTGTCATTGTTGTATTCATCCAACTGCCAAGAAGAAAATGGTACATCATAAAGCTGCTAATCTGTGTAAACAAACTGTTTAAAATACTACACGCAGTTTTGAAGAGGACATCTTTATGTATAGTGGAATAGGGAATGAAACTATTCATCATGATATAACATTTAGGCCTTCATATAAAAAAGATTAAGACCGGATACGGTTACCAATAAGAAAGTTATATAATAAAATCAACCTAAATGTCGCAATACAATCATAATGTTTTTGATAAATGAGTGAAAAGCAGAAATAAAGGGGGCCCAGAAGACGTAGGTGCTCTGAACAAACCAGTAGAAATCTCCCTGTCGATCATGAAAATGAATTTTGAAGTCTCCAACCAACTCAGCTAGACCAGGCTCTCCTGGTAGTGCAAAAACCACAATTCCTTTCTTTGGTGCACTGATCCAGAAATCTTCTGGCTGCAAACGAGTTTAGAAAGCAAATTCAGTAATCAAATTCAATCCATATATTAGCACCGAGGCTTTGGGAAAGAATCAAAACTCATAAAAATGTGTGTACCATTAGATCCTTTGTTTTGGGATGCTTTCTTGTGGTAAAAAGAATTTCTGAGAATAAGTTAAAACATCAGGATTTGAAGATTAAAATGTTAGATATAAGAACAACTTGACAAGTTGCATGAAAAAGCACAGAACAAAGCATATCAATTACTTTGGTTTAAATTCAATCGGGAAAGATGAAGGCACTTTCAGGTTAAAATGTGCAACCATATTTAAGGTATATAGTAGGATATCTGAAGTTCTGAACTAGACCCCCTGACGAATGCACAAATTTCTTGAGCCATACTTGGAATATACGAAAATGAGTGAATATCGAGGACTTTTCTTTAGCTGTCATCTCATTTTATGCCCATTCTTCCATTTACACCTTAATCAGGTACAACATTAGTTGACTGCACATAATTTTTTATATAATTATACCATTATACATTTTCCTTTTCTCTCCATGCAAACCTTGGAATCTAAGTGATTTCAGTTTGCTAAAAAATCATGAGCTGAAATTCACAACTACAGATGTCATTTGATAAACAAAAACCATTTTACGGTAAAAGACCTTTTCATGGAACATTTTCCTATGTAACTATAATATTAATGAAATTCAAATGACACGAAAAGAAAGCAATGAGCTCTGCTACTTACCATTATTATGATCAGAAACTGTAATAGATGGTCTAACCCAATATGGGCATTTGTGAAGCCGAAACCCTCTTAGCATGCACCTGTCAAAGTCCAAATTTAGAAGAATCTTCTTCGATTTTGGTACATGGTGACAAAATTACATCTTACCTTCGTCCAGGCTGGACTTCTCCATTGAAGCGTGTTAAAGTCCGTTTAAAGTATTTTACATATCTCTAAAAAATTACAGAAATAAATGATTTTAGAAGAATGTGTCAGGAATGTACATGTTTAAATAAAACAATAAACCAAAATTAATGACTGACGATCTGACTAGGCAGAACTAGAGCCTTTCCATCTACACATCTTTTGTGGTTAAAGTAATCAATGGCTTCCTCTGCAGTTGGGAAGAACTGCAAAATGATATTTACAGTCAAAAGTTGCAAAATTCAGAGAAGAAAGTGCAGAACAACTGACATTCCAGAGTCTTTGAAGTTGATTATCATGACTTGCCTTAAGAAACAAAAGAAGACTACATATCATAAGTCCGGTCCTTCCCATACCAGCTTTACAATGAACCACCACCACATTTTGAATATCCTCTTTCAACCATGAATATGCACTTAGACAAAATGATGCTATAAGTTCAATAGGAGGGCAATTATGATCACTAAATGGGAAAGATGCAACCTGAAAACAATCCCAATAGGTTAACAGGACGAACAAGAATATTACAATAATTTGATTAAGGTCTTGTTTGGATAAGTTTCTCCATAAACACTTAAATAAAGGAAAAGAAACCATGAACGTAAAATAAATAAACTTTTTTCATAAATTAAAATTAATTTATACATAAACTAAAATTGACTATTTGGAGAAGCTTCTCCCATTTAGCTTAAAAGTTGATTTTAACTTGTGGATAAGTTGATTTTACTTATGTGTGTGTTAATTTTAGCTTATAAGAAAAACTTATTTTTATTTTTTCTTCTTAATTTCTTATTCTATAAGTGCTTACATAGAAGTTTATCTAAACAAGGTCTAAAAGAATTGCTTCCTTATTTCTTTTTTTGACATCTGCAATACCAAACTGCAATTAAAAGAGTTGAATAATTCTTGGTCTCCATATTTCGATCCAGTTGTAATATTTTCCTATGTAATGTTTTAAGACACTAAAATATTGTTAACGTTCCTTCGGGGATGGCATGGGACTGCATTTAAGTGTAAGCAGCTGAAAATTTGTCAATAGGATCTTCTGAATGCTTGTGTCGAGGATATGCAAGTTGTTATCCTCCTATAGCCAATATTGGCCATCAAAGTTAGATGAGTTAGAAACATAAGCAGACTTTCTCTTCTTTTGCTTCTATTTTATGTTTACCATTAACCCTTGTCATATCTCCGAGCTTTTCCTAAGAAAAGGAGGTGGCTCATCAGAATGTAGTCATGTATTGTTTGGGCATAGGAGAGGAAGATAAGGGGTCCAACAAGAACAGGGATGACCAGCATACTGCATATCATCATTTCTCTTTTTTAATCCTTTCATAATTTTTTTACAAAAATACTATACTGATTTGTAAAGTCAAAATTACTGATTGGTTAAGATTCAAAACATATTAAAGGTTAGGATTAGTTTCCTGTTAGTAAATTAATAGCAGGTTAACAGAAAGATCTATTAATTTAATACATAGAGTTTAAGGATTACTTGAAACCAAATTAAAGTTTAGGGTGTGGGTGTCTATTTGTAAAAAAGGATAAAATTTAGAATATTTTCTATAGCCTTTTCCCTTATTTTTATTTTTCTTTACCATTGCCCCATGAGATAACTTAAGAAAATAGAACATGCAATTTCTCTGCCTTTCAAGAGTCTTTTAGAGCAAGAGAGTTACCATCATATACATTTAAAACATGTAAAAATACCAAATTCTAGAGTAGCTACATTGCAAATTATCAGCTCCTGGCAAGTTGACTCCAATTTTCAACTTTAAGTTGAACATAAAGAACAAGGGCAGTAGACTAAAAAGGTAAATGTTAGGTAACATTCAAAATTATTACCCATCTATACCAATACATCAATTGGATTGCTTAAGTGGAAACGAAGATGAAAAACACACCTTCCCCTGGAATAATGATCCATCATATAGCCTTTCTGAACAAAGATTGTATACTTTGTACTTTCCCTGCACGTCAAGGTTTCAAGAGAATAAAATTGTCAGAAGATAAAAGATGAATTGTCTACACTTCGCACATAAAGATAGTAGGACAGATTGTTGTAGCAAACCATTTAATGACAAAAGAATAATGGATAGTAATGCCCAAATTTGTAGAATTTGGAGCTTGCGAGAATTTCAAGATCTTCGGATACTCAAAGTGTCTTTTTACATGTGGCAGAAGAGTTCAAGATCACTGTCAATTATAATGAAAAGTTGGGATGCTGTTTGGAATTTGGGCTGCTGTCGATGATTGTTGTACATGATACAATTAGTACAAGTCATGTAGCAGTGTTATTTTATATTTTAGGCTTAGTTACACTTTAGTCCACATACTTCAGCATATAAGCAATTTTCATCCCATTAATTTTAATTGCTCATATTGAGCCCTGTTAGTTTCTTAATTATTCAAATTTCAAAGCACCCTCACCCAATTTTATCCAATATTAACAGAAATGTAACAGAGGTTGTGAAACATATCCTTACTTTGTATAAATTAACAAAGAAAAATGTATATTATATTTAAATAACAATAAAAAAAACAAAATGAAACAGTAAAAGTGCATGTAGACTAAAATGTGAGAACTAAAAGTGCAATTAAGCCTATAATTTACTAATTCTTTCATTTTGTTGCATAACCTTCTAACAAACATGGGAATAAAAATTCTCACCTTCATATTCCTAGGAATAGAAGGAAATAACGTGAAACAAACGCTCCCCAAGGGATTCTATGCTAAGTGAAGGGAGTTAATGGCTTTAAGAAGGGATAGTTCATATTTCATTATAAAATGTTTTCTTCTATATTTCCCGGCTGTTAACCAGAACAGAAGTACTCTTTTGATTCTGTTCTAGTAGATTTCTTTGACCATCCTTTTCTATAAGAACCTTGGGAGAACTACAAAAGTTATCCAATATAGGTAGAGAGCCTAAAGCCTTGTAAACTCTAAACTAGAATCACGTATTTCCAATATGAGACTCAAGTCTCATACCTTGCATTTAGATCCCAAGACTGCAATAGATATTATGTTACCTTGTGATGTGTTTCAAAAAACTTGATCACCTCTTCCATGTGATTGCGATAGAACCCCTGCAAGACAGCTCCCCTTTAAAACAATTGAATGATGACTGAGCTTGGCTTTAACATGAGAGACAAGAACTGACTGTTTGTAAGTATACCTCAATGTATCCAAAAATTCCAGAGCTAAAATCACCACCCGGAAATCCCATAGCAATTACATTTTCAGTGATGTATGTCATATCCAAATCAAATCCATCTTCCTGTTACAAAGAATAAGAGTTAAAATATTGAAGTAAAAGAAAAATGGAAGGTGAGTCAATTCTTCACAAAAAGTATTGTTTCTTTTCAAAATTCAATAAATTTGGTAGAAAAATGTTAACTTGGAGACAGTATCAGATCCACAAGAATAAGATGCATTAACTAAGTAGTCAATGCCAACTTCATTCTTCAACAGACAAAGTTGATTCATAGCTAGTCCATCAGCACAGGATTAGAAAAGGAAGTGCAAAGCATTCCATGTAAATAAAATAATGATACTATGAGATTTGTTATATAACTGATACGTGTGAGATATTTCATAAATACAATATAACAGGGAATAGCACAGTTAGCAGCAGCATTAGTAGTAGTATCATTCAGGTGGTGTGCCTATTCATATAAGCAAATTTTAAACTAAAGTTGCTGCCATCGCGGATAAATAATGACATAGACCAGACTAAGAATATACCGATGGAAAAAATAAAGTAAATATAAGGGTTTAGTTTGCATTTCAAGAGGGACAGGTGACAACTAAATCATGCAGGTATTGAATGTGAGTTCGCACAACTGCAAGTGACTCAACCAGCAGATTAGGACGTGATAACATAGATCAGTTCTACACTTTAAGCCCTGGTATGAATTGTAACAGAGTTAAAAGCAAACCAGGTGTAAAATTTCATTGTCAACCAACCTGGTATCTACGTTTATTTTGAGAGACTATATGGCGTGCTTTGACCTGCACTGCCTTTACTGCACTTTTGGAAGAGTCCACCAAACCTTTGGTGAAGGATTCAATCAAATTAGGCTGTTCAGCACCTGAATTGACTGGAGCAGCAGCAGCAACAGCTTCATTTGATGGCATTCGCAATCCAAGCCCACTAGTCAGGCGGGCAAAAGCTGATATGCCAGTGTTTTCAGTTTGTGAATTCTGTTGTGCCGCTCTAAGGGCCTGTGGGAGTTTCAGATGTCTTGCCCAGGATGATATGCCAGAAGCAGGTAATGAAGATGGGGAATCATTTGCATTGCCAATTTGTCCAGACACATTGGTTGAGTGATGTTCTTCAGTTTGTGCATTGCCAATTTGTCCAGACACATTGGTTGAGTTATGTTCTTCAGTTTGTGCATTGCCAATTTGTCCAGACACATTGGTTGAGTTATTTTCTTCACTTTGTGCATTGCCAATTTGTCCAGACACTTTGGTTGAGTTATCTTCAGTTTGTGCATCGCCAATTTGTCCAGACACTTTGGTTGATTGATTCTCTTCAGTATTAGAAACTGGAGGAGGAGTAAGTTGAGGTTGAGATGAAGAATCAGCAGAAGCTGGTTCCATGAGTCACCCAAATGCAATTCTGTAAAGTGGAAAACCAATCTCAGTCATGAGCAGTTCAACTTCAAGCAGTTAACAACAAATTACCTAAATAAATAAATAAACATACACCATAGAATGTTGGTGGCAAAGTTCCTAATATGATAATACCAAAAGAGCACCTAATTTTGAAACATCTACTTCTCACAAGCAAGTTAATTTCAGAACCGAAGCGGTTCTCTCATAAATCAACTGGATTGGAACGTAAATTGAATCAAAACAGTGCAAAAACGTCAGCGTCAGGAATGTAAATAAAGGGATCTGAAAATGGAGGGTTCAGTGACACAGATTAAGCAGATTCGCCATTGAACACAAGCGATATTTGAAATTTGTAAAGAATGCAAAAACATGTTTGCATCGTAGCTACGAGAAATGAAAAATGCAGGAGCAGTAGATCGCTTACCGGTGAGTCAGTGACGACGCACACTATTCGATCTCTTTTTGCAGGTTTGGGATATAGATCAATGTAGCTCGCCACTGTAATATGAAAGATTCATATAAACAGGTAGACCGTTATTGCTTATTTTATAATTAATCGGTTATTTAAATATATTTTTAAGTTCTTATATTTAAATTTTATTAAAAAAATTCTAAATACTATTGTATAAAATATATTTAGTGATATTTTCATAAACCGCATAAATGTCTCATTATTAATGATCTAAAAGATTTTTTTTTAATTATAAAAATTAAAAATAATAAATTTAAATTTTAAAATAATAAATAAATTTATTTTAAATTTAAGAGACTAAAAATATATTTAATTCTTCACCATTTAATCATTAAATTAAAATTAAAACTAAGGATAAGAATAGTTGAAAATATATGTATCAAGTTGTAAAGAATTTTTACACTTTAATTTGTAATGACATAAAAACACATCAATGAGTTGGATTTTTTTTTTAAATATAAGTCAATCCAAAAATAGTTTGAAAATTAATTAGTTAATTAGTTAATTAGATTTAATTCATAAATTAAATTAATTCTAAAATAATTTAAAATTTAATTAAATAATTAACTTATTAAACTTGGTTCATAAATTAAATGAGATAATCCTTTAACTAAAAGTTAAGTTAGATAAATAAATAAGTTAAATTTGAGATTTATATAGTTCAACTTGTTTAATTAATGAATCAATTAGATATATAAATATATAATTTATATAATTAATTTTTATATTTATTTTTGATTTATTAAAATTGAAATAACCTTCAAAATTTAGTTATAAAATAATAATAATAATAATAATAATAATAATAAAAAAGGAAACAAACACCTTAAAGTTTTATGGTTATGAATTATTTTTTTAATTATTTCATGTTAAACAAAATAATTTCTTTTGTTGAAAATTTTAATTGTGTTTATGTTTTTTTTTTTGAGTTATACTTTATAATCTTACAAAACTAGTAAAATAAGTTTTATTTTATTTTTCCAACAAAATTAAATAATCATTTTATTAAAAAATCAACTTCTATGTATCAAACACAAACATCTATGTACAAAAAAAAAACACAAATATATATACTACATGAAAGTATTTCTAGGAGCTTTTTTTCAAGGAGAGCATTTGTATAAATTTTTTTAATTTCTTATCTAATTTAATTTTTATTTATTTCTCAATTAAATATTAATATTTTAAAATAAAGTATCAATAACTTTTTATGTTATTAATTTTAAATATAACTTATATATTCAAACAAAAATTTATTCATAGATAATTTATTATAAAATATTAATTATATTATATATAATAAATATGTATGTGTATTACATAAGTTAAAAATATTAATTATTAATAAATTTAAATTTTGAAATGTATAAGATTAAAAAAAAATTTCTTATCCATGTAATTCGAACTAACAAGTTGAATCAAATTTTTTTTTATAAATTTGAACCAAATTAGCTTCAAGCTAGAAAAAAAGTTAATGTCAAATTCAAACTAATTTTTGAGTTGAGTTAAAAATTATCAAGTTGAGTCAAATTGAGATTAACTTAACTCATTTTTAACCCTATTTATTTTTTATCTATATAATTAAACTTGAGTATCATCTGTTTTCAAATGATTACCAACACAAATATAAATTATATTGCATTTCATATTATATATATATATATACATGTATTCTCAAGTGTACATATTTAATAAGATTTTAAATGAAACTAAATTTAATATATTAGATAAGATTTTAGTTCAAACATCATAGATGAAAAGAATTCTTAATTCAAGTATTTGTGAGAATTTTGAAGAAAAAAAAAAGTTAATTATGAACATAATCAATATCATTGTCATTCATTTGTTTATTTTTTCTATACGTAGTTAGAACCTAATTAATTACTTTTAAGACGTAAAAATCATCAAAAATAAGTTTTTCTTTATTTAATAGAGTCTTATCACATCTACTCAAAAACACACTCTGCTCTTCTATTTATTTATATGAAAGGGTGGATTAAAATTTGAGTAAATTTTACATGAGCATAACTACTTAAAAGTTTGAAATAAATTAAGATAATATAAAAGTCTTGTAAAAAAAGTAAAGATAATAAAATTTAAGAAATAAAGTATAATTATAAATATTAACTAAGAAATCAATAATTAAAATTTATCAATGTCATAATTTATTATATATAATGTATAATTTCCACTTTTAATTAGAAAATCAATAATTTTAATTATGTTTACCTCTAAGAAATATCAAATCAAATCCACGTGGATTCTAACTCACAAAAAGTGTATGACTTGTTGTAAATTTTTTTTAGTATTCTCATCGACTCTCGCAAATAAAAAAAGCTATGCTTAAGTCATTGTAAAATACTTATTTTAATTGTTTTAGTATTATCTTGAAGTGCTAATAAAATATGATGAATTAGATTTTTTGGTTCAGTGACCGTAAAGTTTATTTTATTGGAAATCATGTCTTGCATTAATAGTTTTTTATTATTGTTTAAATTTTATTAAAATTTTAAAATGTGCTTCATTTATCGAGAATATCGTGATTTTGTAGGTAAAAAAAAAAAAAAAAAGTAGGAAAGAAAAAGGTTAAGAAAAGAGAGTATTGGAACCTGAAAATGGATATGTTAATGCATTACGCAAGAGGATACGAAATATGAAGTGTTGTAATTGTAATATATAAATGGTGTTTATTTATTGATTTATAATCCAACGATCTTTACCTTTGGGGCAGAGAAAGAGAAAGTAAACGAGCCGAAAAGAGGGGTTGGGCTCGTGTGCTGTGCTTCTAAGTTCTAACATTTCCATCTCATCTCATCCTCATCTGCTTCTGCGCCATTGCATCTCATCACATCACATCACATCACATCACACTCTGTCCGCAACATAACGTTGGGAAAAGTCCAAACTACCCTCCCACCGAGATGGACGCAGTAGGCGCCGAAGATCAGTCCCCGGAAGCGGCGATATCGCGGTGGAAATTCGCGGCGTCGCGGCAGTACCAGCACATTCTGGACAAAACGACGCCGCACGTGCTCCGGCGGTGGATCGGGTGCTTGGTGGTGGCCTCGGTGTACGTGCTCCGCGTCTACTTGGTCCAAGGCTTCTACATCGTCTCCTACGCCCTCGGCATTTACATCCTCAACCTCCTCATCGGCTTCCTCTCCCCTCAGGTCGATCCCGAGATTCACGACGGCCCCACCCTCCCCACCCGAGGATCCGACGAGTTCCGCCCCTTCGTTCGCCGCCTCCCCGAGTTCAAGTTCTGGTACCCTTCTCCCCTTCTACCATGTATTACAATCAACTTCACCTCAACCTATTCACAACTTACAAGAGGAAATGCTTACTGTTATTTTCTTATTTGCTTACTCGTCTTTTCTCAAAAAATTTAAATTATAGGGTTTTGGTACGCTGATTGTATTGTGCCTTGATCTGTCCTGAGAAGAGTCTAGAATAGATTTATGGAGCCTTGGAGGGTATAACAATCTCTTATTGGATTTTATTATGTTGCTGTATTCAACTCTGTTTTGACTTCAGAGGAGATCAATCTTCATTCACGGGCTTTGTCAAATTGTGGAGTTAGTAATGTTTTGTTATTTACTTGGTTCTGTTCTGTCAGAAAAAAAAAAAAAAAACTTACGGGGTTATGTTTGCCATGTGGAATGGACTGACTGATAGATTACTTGATATGTCTGCTCCTCCTTATGAGCTCCAAAAACAATATTGACAAGCAGAATCTATTCCCATAAGTTTCCTTGTTAGTCTTTTAATCTTTATCAATGCCTCGCCCTTGTATTGTACTTCCATTATATGAAGTGAGTGTAAAAGAAAATTCTATTTAGAGTTAACGTTTTTGTACTGTTTGGTTTTGTTGCTTTAAGTTGTAGAAGTTAGTTTCATGATCACTTAGGAAAGCACATTTAGAATGATTTGACGTGCTGATGGTTGGTTTCACTAAAAGCTTCTTAATTTTTCTTTGTGGGCAGGTACTCGATCACAAAGGCATTTTGCATTGCTTTTGTGATGACTTTCTTTAGTGCATTTGATGTTCCAGTATTCTGGCCAATACTCCTTTTCTACTGGGTGGTCCTATTCACACTTACAATGAGGAGACAGATATCACACATGATCAAATACAAATATGTTCCATTCTCATTTGGGAAACAGGTAAGTTTAATATATATTTTTTTCGTTCAAAATTGTTGTGGCAAATGTTGGTTATTTCATTAATTGTGTTTTTATCAGGATTACATCTTTGTTGCTAATAGTAAGCTTTAATTTGTCTATTTTACTCTTAGCGCTATTTTGGAAAGAGACCACCAGCAGAAAGCACAAGCCCTACCGTGAACTGAAATTGTCAGTTTAATTGAACTTTTTTTACTACATTTAAGTCACAATCCCGCATGTGGCTTGATATCATCTACAGTATATTTTAGCAGCTGGAGCAATCTGAGGATTTGGTGGCTGGAGAAGATTGCTTTGAGGTCTAGCATGGACGTATAACATCTGGATGTTCAATTCCCAATTGAGAAACTGTTTGGACATCTTCAATGTTTCTACGCCCTGGTAGAAGCTTTAGCTTTGGGGAGATGTTGACGTCCCCCTTCTAGTAAAATCCTTTTTCTTTATTTTCTTTTTCTATATAGGTGGGCAAATCCAAACTCTTATTGCTGAATTCATAGTTTAATAACGAGAATTTTAAGAAGCCTGTGCAGAAGGAACTCCCTTCATTATTTGCAATGGGGTATTAACGATCTGGCTTTTCCATTGTATTTTTTTCCTTTTAATCACGTGATTTTCAGGAACCCATTTTTTTCTCTATAAATTTGCCCAAACAATACTATTACCCCTTTCAGGTTTTCTTGGCACTATTGGATGTGTGCATTTGGAATGTCTGGACTTTTTTTTCAATTTTTATTTACATATTATATGAATGAGGTTTCTCCACACTTTTGGACTGTATGACCGACATTCCCTCGAGATATTAAAGGTGCTCTTCTTCACTAGGGTTTTCTCACAGGTCGGGGTCAAACCTCTATATCATTGCAGAATGTCCTAAAGCGCTAGTGTTTTTTTCAAACCAAAGTATTTTTTCTTATGAATTGGTAACAGTATTTTTTTGACACTTTTTTATTGGTGTTCCTTTAGTGGTATGATGCATATAGCTGACGTTATTTAGTGGGATAATGCAGACCTTATCAAGTGAGATAAATGTTTTTTTATTTATTTATTTGGAGTTCATAATATATTTGCACAATAATAATTTTAAATTTCATTTTGATGAAGCGATCACCTGGTCGGCTGGTCTGGCCAGTTGATCATGGTACCTTTTTCTTTTGCAATAATAGGGCTTTTACTATATACCATTTGTTCCAGAACTGTTCCGTTGATCTTGAAGAGCATCTCTCATTAGAAATAACGCAATTTTTTTTAAGTAACCACACTACTACTACAGTCTTGTGCACTGGTGCTACACTTGTGAATTGACATATCCTTTACCTTTATCACGTATTTGCTTTTGTCCTTGGCTTGACCCGTTCTCTGTTATTTTTCTGTCTTTGTGCACCTTGTAACCCACTTTTATGACCAACTGTAATGGTAGCTGCTACTCTCTCGTTCCAATAGGTCAAGGGGGCGATCACCGTAGTTATTTGAAATGTATTCTGCAATCTCAGTAACAACAAAATATAAAATTGTGTAAAAAAAATAAAAATGTATGACAGCAATTTGTACTCAGTGTTGTAGAAATTGCACTCTAATGGCTAGAAACAATGCCATAGAGAAATTTCATTGATGCCTAAATAGGTACATCGTACATGACCTCACAGAAAAGTTAATCAAGAATATTCAGAAGAGAAAAGAGACACAGTGCAGAGGGGAAATCGTCTCTGTATTTGCCGCCCCTTTTTTATTTTTCTTTTAATTTTTTCCTTTCAAATACTCATTTTGAGTCCCTAAAATCCTCTATGTGATTCTGTTACTTTTTCTCTCCGCTCCCTGCAATGTCCTCCCTTTTTCCACATCAGTTATCACGTGTATATTAGTGGTTCCATCAGATATTTTTCTTATCGTAACATTATTTGGAGGTGTTATCGTAAGATTGATCTTTGAACCAAAACAGTTCTGGGCCACTATTGTAAACTGGAAAACGTAATGTTCCATGTCCTAGCCAAGAATTTAGTCCGAGATTTTCCATGGTATGACCTGATCGAAAATTTGAAATTGTAACCCAATTTCTATGGGAAGTTTAGATGGAAAGGAGATGCAACACAGATTTTCTATGTTGCTTAAATCACCCAATAAACCCAAAAGTAGAGGGAAGTGCCCTCTTTTCCTTCAATTTCAAATCTTAAATCCTTTGGCAGAGTAGTAGCCTTCGCATTCCATTGCATCAATGCCCATGATTTTTATTTTTTTTTGTCTTCATGTTTTCCTTTCTCTGATAACAAACTCAAATCAATAGTTTTTATTTATTTATTTATGCCGAACATGGGGAGGAGTGTGGAGGAGTAGACATTGTGTCGGTGTAAGAACGGAAATGAATACCGTTTGCAGAAGCTAACAGACTCATCGTCTTGGACATTTTACTCTATAACACTTTTCATTGTCTAATTATAGTGTTGGTATTATATCGTTTTATACGCACTTGGATTTTGATTCTGTCAATACTCTAGTTCAAGGTGAATAATACACTTTTCAAATACACATTTATTCCAAGTGGCGATCATTTGGCTTCAGTTTGCCTTGGCTTACTTTTGGTCTTCAATTCCTTACTGTAGTTATTACAGAAATGAAGTTCCTACTAATGTACTTCTTGCTTTGTTATAAAAATAATAATAAAAAGGTCTAGTATTGTATTTTATATGACAAATTTATAACGAATGGTTAAATAAACACGAAGGTTCCTCACACACACGCCTCTTCTAATTTTTTTTACAGAATCTTTCAAATTTGTGCATATTACAGTTTAAAACTAATTTACTCCAGTCCTAAGATTAAGGGAATTTTTTTTCTTTGCATTTAAATCTCTTTCGGAATCTGAAAGGAAAACTTGTTAAGGCAATTAAGCCAAAATTGTTGTGCCAACATTTGCATTCCAAAGGAAAGTTGTATTACAGCAGTAGCAACTAGCCAATACCAATACCTTCTGTGCCAAAACAAATGAATTAATGAGGTTTCAGCCTTCCAAGCTCTTTCCTAAGCTTGATTATTGAAACTAAGGCAGACACATCAACATCTCAAACTTGAAAAGGGTCAATACTAGAAAATATGTTGAGGATACATTATGGAGGAAATGAAAATCCTGCAAGAGTACTTACCAATTACCCAGCCGGTCTGTAATATCCATATATACTGTAGTAGGTTTGTGCAAGAGTAAGTAGTAACAAGACAACAGCAGCAACCAAAGAGATAATAGCCCAAGGATTACTGAAGTAATTGTGTCTCAAGCTTGCACACCAAGTATTCCATCTATGATTGTAATACCGATTCACATCCTCAGACAATGGAGAAAGGTAACTGTTATTTATGTCAAACACAACCTCTTGGCACAACCGGTTAAAAAGGTCTGCAACTTCAGCATCACTCCCAAGCCAATGCTCAATGATGCCGCGGTAATGAAGATACCCCACATCCTCTGGAGAGTTAATCAAGTTGTCCATGAAAATGACATAGGATGTAATGTCATTGCTGCAATCAAGATGACACTGCTCAAAAGCAATGAGGTTGAGGAACAAAGACTTGGTACCATCATGGATCAAGAGCCGTGGTATTCGCAGTTTTCCATCCTTGAATTTGATGTCCCAGAAGCGATCAGTCTTCCTCTTCTTGAACTTGATTCCAGCCTCTTTAAGCTCTGTGACACAATGTATCAGTTGCTGTCTCCTTTTGTCAGCAACTCTTTGAGCATTTGACCTGCGTTTGATCCATATTCTAGGTACTGGTTGAGGTCCTGTGCGCAAAAGACTTCTTCTGAACACTTCCAAGCAGTGAAGACCTTCTTGATCAGATAAAGGGTCAAAGGTGTCGGTGCCTCCAAGTGATGATTCCAATTTGTTTCTGTCACTCTTTGTCAATGGTTCATCTGTTGGCATCAAAGGGTCAAAGAATCTGAGTGCTAGAGTTGCAACAAGTCCTTTCAGTTCTGGATTTCCCAGTTGAATTCCCAGAAGCTTATCTAGTACAAACAAAGGAAGCTGGTTTTCTAGCATGATCATGTCTCTCTGAATGGAGTGCATCGATCCACGCATTGCGAAAACCGGATCATTCCTCGAATATCCAAGTTGCTTGAAGTCCCCGGTGGCTCCTCTGAATAGCTCAAGCACAAAACAACCATCAAGGACAAGCATTTCCACAAACTCATTGCTGCTTAAACTGATTGGTCCTTCATAACATGAGCGAGCTCTCTCTTCAATCTCCTTCATGGAATTGAGATAGAGCCTAATGTCATGTTTGGCACGCTTGAGGACATGGTTAAGGGAACGCCATTTGTGGCGATCCATTTGGCGAAGGCGTTTCTTGCCATGGTGGTAAGGACCTATCGACACAATCTGTGGTGCAAAAGCTTTGTCTTCACCACCACTATCTCTAAGGTAGTGAGGGATTCTGTAGATTGATAACTTGGACCATGAACTTGCCACATCATCTTGACATGCCTGCTCTAGCTTTTCCTTGATGGTTACGACCCATTCAGATGCTGGTGAGTTTGGTTCCTCTTGCTTTTCATCTTCTCCATTGATGACAACTTGCAATGGTTCTGTAGGTTCATGCTGAAGCTTTTCCTCCTCATGCTGTTGAGGAAACTCAATTGATCTGTTACCTGAAATAGGAGAAGATGGAATCCCTGATTCTAAGGTTTCTTTGAGTTTAAGGGTGATGAGGTACCAGCTCAAGAGCTCTTTGTTGAATACAGCCACCATTTCTTGTGAATGGCCTCAAATCTCAATGGTGCTATAAACAAATAAAACTGAATAGTTTGTGATTGAAGGTAACGAGTCTATTGTGATCATAGCCTGAAAAATGACCTAAACATTTCTTATAGGATGTTGTAATTGACTTGAACAAATTGTGCAGCTCATATGGGACCCCTTTGGTTGGGCCCAATAGCAGCACTTTCCGGATAACTTCCAACTTTCATATATTCTAAGTTTTATTCTTATTCTCTGTATAATCTGTAGCACGGTAAATTCTTCTGGAAAAGACCCTTATAATAAGCGTATAGCATCACACAATGGATAAAAGCGGCTTCAACATGTTCAGAGTTCTTGCTTGCTATCACCAGTTTTCTCTTTTCCCCTAATGTACATACTACTTGTATATGATATTTATCGCTTTCCCTCTTCAACTTTACACAAAGATTTAGATATATTTAGATAAATTTTTCATAAGCACTTTTAATAAAATAAAATATACTTTTCCATAATAAAGTTACTTTTATTTTACAAAAATTTGATAAAATAGAAAGGAAATCTTAATATATGACTTAGTTATAAAAAATTAATTTTTTTTAAAAATGTTTTTAGGAGAAATTTATTCACTTTAATTATTATTTCTTGGTAGATGCGTGATAATTGGAAGATGCGATTAACTATCTAAATCATATACTGTAATATATATATATATATGAGGGTTCAAACGACACTAGTGTAACTTTTACTAAGTGTTACACCGCTTAATAACTTTATATTAAATGTGAATTTTGTAAATCCAACCGTTAGATTGAAAGTTCATATCTCTTAGATCATATATATCAAATTTTATATTAATCTAAGATGATTTGATACTTCATTCTCACAAAACAAAATTGACATAATATATACATTTTAAAGTATACTAAAATATCAACATTTAGTAAAAGTTATACCGGTGTCGTTTGAACCCTCCTCATATATATATATATATAAATCATATTGTGTAATCTTGGTATTTGAATGTAATACGTTGTACAAAAAAATTGAGGTAGCATGAGAGTATAATAACGATAGCCCACCATGTGAATGATAATAATAATAATTCTGCACATTGCATATGTGTAATGTTAATGCAAGGGTTGCCTCCTCATGACCCCGCTTGTTTTTATTATTCTTTTTATTTATTTATTTTTTAAAGAAATTTTTATTTGGAAATTCAAAAGAATATAAAGATATTAAATATGTGGATAAAAAAGGAAAAAAAGAAAAGAAAAACGAAGGAAGCAATAAATTGACTAATTAATACGTGTTTAAAAATCCATTTGAATGTTAATGATTACGTTATGTTATGTGAAAGTTAAAACCAATAATTTGACATTTAACGTTCTAAGTTGTTGTATAAAATAAGTAATAAGGTGGGGCTGAGGTAGACAGAAGTGGGAAAAACGTGAAAGAAATCAAAATTTGCGATGCCTCTCATTGTTAATCCAGAATCGGAGCACGTCCTAGTCTTAAATATTCATTTAAATATAACTTTACAACCGAAACAATGAATATATAATTTCTACAAAATCTTCTTACTAATCATCCTACTTAGTAGATAAATTAGAAAGCACTAAATATTTTTATTTCACACTTTCTTCATAAAGTATTAAAAATATTGCATAGCATATAAAATAACTCGAGAACATAACATGCTTTCTGATTGTCTATTCGTAAAGTTTTAAATATTTGTAACTTGAAAAAAGTTAGTAAACTTTTGACAGCTGAGTTCCTTGTGCTTCAATCGCATGCTCGCCTTTACAGCGAAAAAAAAAAAACTTGTAATTTAAATATGAGCATAATGATCCATGTCAGGATGAGCAAATGACCTCATCTCTCACACTTAAAATGTGTTTCTTTTCTTTTGATATGATCAAGTTCTTGTAATTTTAAAAGCACTTTCTGATTTAATATTATGTGACTTTCTACCCGAGAAAAATTAAAAGATCATCTTCAATAGCTAACAATCTCCTGCGTGAATTATGACTATTGAAAATAACTTATGGGAACGGATGGAAGCAGAAACGTAGGGTCATCAAATTGGAAGTTAGAACATCTATTTATGCTAGCGTTGACAATATTATTTTTTTATTTCTAGACTTTTGAACAAATTAATAATAGATTAATATATTGCCAACAAAATCGCATGATAAGTTGATAATTTTTTTTTTCAGAAGAAAAAATTACAACAACATAATGAACAATAAACTTAAATTCTCATACATTTATCTTACTTTTCATGTGTAGCAATGATAAGTGAGTATTTGCTTGAGTTTCTTTTTCATAAAAAATATCTCTCAACCAACATAATTTTGGTTCTCCCAATAAATCGAATTCTTAAGGACATGTAATGTAACTACCAGTTTTTTGAAGTGGTTGTTGCCCTTTTGTAATAATAGTATGAAAAAGAAGTTGCTATTCACAATCACACCACCTAATCTCCCTCGAGTTATTTACTCTTATCATTTTTTGTCCTTGCAAAACATTTTGACGTAGCAGGTATGCTGTAAAAAACTAAAACTTTGGTAGCCACCACCAAATTCATGCTGTTGAAGATTAATCAAATACGTAAGCCTTACATGTGAAATGTGGTTACTAACGGGTCACTGATATGTTAACCCGTTTAAGTTCAATACAAGTTGAACTGGTTGATTTCGTTGTCAGTTGATTAAGAAGAAAAAAATGTTTGTTAAGTAAATGGTTACTAGTGGATAGACCTGTTTAACAAAATAAAAAACACGTAACATCATTCATCATGGGACTAGCCAAATGATTGATAAGGTGCGCAAGTTAGGTTGTTTAAATCTATTGGTTTTTTTTTTGGTAGAATCAAATGTATGTCTGCTAAGAGTTTTTTTTTTTTTTTTTTCATTTCAACTTGTGTAAATAAAATTTTATTGTAACACTATCAATTTCATAATTCAAGTTGTTTAATTGATAAACGTGTTGAGAGTTCTAGAGTAGAAAGATCCTAAGAGCAAATTGATTTATAAAAAATTGAACTAAAGATAAGAAGTAGTCTTGGATAGAGTTTTTATTCTTGTTAATTTTAAGAATCATTTATTAACTCAATTAAGAAATGATAATGTAGGAAACAAGGCAAATTTATGATATTTTATATCAATTTTAATATTATAATTATGGTATATTCATTATATATATAGAGAGATAATTATTATAAATATAAATATGATATCATATTATTTTAAATAATAAGTCCATTTGTTTAAACTTTAAAAAAAATGTTTATAAACAATTTTTTCAAAAAAAAATAATTCTTTAAGAAGCAAATAAAAATTATTTTAAAAAATAAAGAAGAAATTGGTTATTTAAAAAAAAATTAGACAAACACATAAAAAGTCAAGTGTTTATTTTATTAAAAAGTACTTTTATAGAGAAAAAATTTAAATAAACAAAAATAATATCTATCAAGTCAAGAAATTTTATTATTAATAAATATATATTTAAAAATAATAATATTACCCTAGATCTAATTCAAGCAACTCGAAATATAATTTAAATTTGTACTCAAAAATATTTCGGTGGAATTTTAAATTTTGAATATGTCAAGATTAAGGCTTTGTTTGGATTTGAGGATGGAAAAAGGGGAGTGGAAAAGGAGAGATTTGAAGGGAAAGTGAGGTTGTTTGGATTAAAGGAAAGTGAGTGGAAAGTGTAGAGAAAGTTTGTGAGTGAATTGATTGATGTAATAGATAAAAATAAATTTTTTAACTGATAATTTTGTAAGATTACTATTTTGCCCTTAAGTTAAAAAAAAAGTTTATAATTATTATAATTAAAAGATAAATATAAAAATTTTAACTAAAAAATAAATATAAAATCTTAATTTAAATATTTGCTTTAAATTTAATGATAGATAAAAATTAAAAATTTAATAGATGAATATGTAATTTACACTTTTACCATTAGATTAAAAATGAGTAGAATAAATAATAATGATACTAATTATAATAAATAATAATAATATTAATAATAATGATAATAATAATAATATTTATAATAATAAATAATAATAACAAAATATATTATGATAATTATATTTTCTAACATTATTTTATTAATGTTTATGAAAGTGTTATTATTTTAATTTTATAAACATGTATTACTTTATTTTTTTTATATTTTCACTTTTTGATGTCAATATTTAAATAATAAAATTTTCTTAATATAAAAAAAAATGTACAATAAAATTTTTGAAAGTTAAATAATAAATTAAAAAATTGATAAAGCATTGACATAAATTAGAATGAAATGAAGATACATTTGTTAATTGTACAAGTTAATTTTTACCAATTAAAAAATTAAGAAATTTTTAAGTAAATAATAATTAAATATGACCAGAACGACCCGTTCTTAGACCAGAACGGCCCGTTTTAGGATTACAAATTAACTCACAATTGCCATGTGTAAAACGGCCCATTCCCAAAGTGGAACGGCTCATTCTAAGTTTGCATATTACTCATAAAACCCAGTGTTAGAACGACCCGTTCTGAGTTCGCATATTTGCGAAAATATGCCACCATAATCATTATGTATGGCACATAATCGATTATGTGCCTCCATTCTTCATCTCTTTTCAGCCTTTGGGGCAGGAGTATTATCGGGTTTTCTCAATTCTTACATGACTTTCATCTCTTTTCTTCACAAAAGCGCGAGGAACGCCAACGCGGGTTCTCCCGCTTTTCTTCGCTTTTCTTTCGGTGCAAATCAGCAGAAACAAACGTGCACTTTCTTCACCTTTCCTTCTTCGTGAATAGTAAATCTGCGAAAACAAACATGGTTAACTTTGGACCGAAGTAAGTTAGTAGAAAAAGTGAAAAGTGGTTCTTTTTCTTTTTGTTTTTTTTTTCCTCGTAATTATCAGAATTACATGACATGAACAGCTTAATTTCAATTTTCTTAATTGTCGTGCTCTTATCTTCGAAGCAAACAGAACCAAATCTAGTGAGAGAATTCAAGCCCAACCATTTTGGTAACAATCGGACCTAACAACAAATAGTTGAACCTG